TAAAAAAATTATCTAGAAATTTTTGAGCTTCCTGGAAATTTAAGGAAGTTCTCTGAAGATCTACTTATTTTTTCTGAAGCTGTGCAAATATCCATAAAGATCAGCGAACTGCCCAGAAGTTCTGTAAATTTCACTTAAAATCCAAGAACCCCAATAAAATTCTACAGATTTTTCAGTTAATCTTCTCTAAAACTCTGTACATTTCTTTGTGGATTCTTGGATTTCCATGAAGTTCTGCAGATTTATCTGAAATTCCTTTAAATTCCTTAAAGTGCCACAAATTATCTGAAAATATTTGGATTTCTCTGAAGTTGTTAAAACACTTCTAAAGATTGGCGAACTTTCCAGAAGTTTTGTGAGTTTTGCTGAACTTTTGAATTTATTTTCTATAAATGTATGAACTTCCTAAAGTTCCACAGACTTCTCTTAAGGCCTACGGACTCTTCTGATTATTTTCAGATCTACCTATTTCCAACTTACATGGAGTTCTGCAAAATCTTGGACTTTCGTTCTTCGCTGAGATTTGTTTTTAGAATTGAAATACTTTTCTATAACACTGAATCACTTAATTTCTCTGAAAATCTGCAAAATTTCTTGCAGTTCTACAGATTTCTCTAAATATACTCTCTCCTTAGGTTCTGCAAATATCTTTCAAGATCTGTAAAGTTGACTGAAGCTCTGTAATTTTATTCTCAAAATCTACATTTCTGAGAATACATTTCTCAGTAGATCTACAAACTTGTCTGAAGTTTTGTAAATTCCTCTGTCGGCTCTCGGGCTACCCTGAACATCTGAAAATGTTCCTGCAGATCTTCTAAAGTACCTTAAGTTCTAAAAATGTATCTGAAAATAATTGAGCTTCCTTGAAGTATTAAATGTTTCTCTCAAGATCTTCAAATTTCCCTGAAATCATATAAATATATTTTTTTAAACCGCTGAACTGCCCTGAAGTTTTGCAAATTTCACTGAGGATACATGAACATTTCTGATATTCTAAAAATGCATCAGAAAAGCTGCACTCTTTCTTAAAGATCAAAAAATTTATCTGGGGGAAATGTTGGCTTCGGCAATACCTTAACCTATTATTGTCAGGGGGTAAACAACGTCATTGAGAACTCAATTTTGGCATGTGGATACATTGTGTTTCAGAGCATCTATTGACCAAATTTGAGTGCTCTAGGACTTTGTTTACCCCCCTGACGATAATAGGCTAAGGTATTGCCGAAGCCAATATTTCCCCTGAGAATCTATGACCATTCTTGTGATTTTTCATAAATCTAACTTTTCTGATGTCCAATAATTTTTCAGTAGATCTCCTAACTTCTGTGAAATTCCTTACATTTCACTGTAGATTCTTCTTTTCTGCGAAGTTCTCTGAATATTTAACAAAATTTCCCTTATAGTTTCACAAATTGATCTGAAAATATTAAGGCTTGCTTGCAGTTTTGAAAATTTCTTTGAACATTTTTCTGAATATTTACGATCTCTCTTGTGATTTATTCTGAATTTCTGCAAATTTCTTTTAATTTCTGTAAAATTTTCCGAAGCTTTGTAGTTCTGTTCTCAAGATCTACGAGCTACCTTGAAGCTCAACAAATTTCTAAGTAGATCTCCAAATCTCTCTGAAGCTCTAAAAATTCTTATTAGGCTCTCAGACTTGCTGTCTGGCATGCTTATTCTTATATAATACATACTTCATATTATATAAACACTGTTTTGTTGACGGCCAAACACACTGGAAAATAAAAATCAGTCAAATTATACACATAGAATAGTGAAATCGGTTTACCTTGCTGCTGGATGTCATCAAAACACAGATCGAATTCTTGAGATATTAGAAGAAAAAAAAAATCAATATTTTCATTTCACTTGCAACTATTTTGCTGAATGAGTCTAATGAAAATTAACCACAAACCTATTACGTTCGACAAATCGAACGTCAAGTCTAATCATCATGTCGAAAAAGTGTAAGCATTCGAACATTGCATCCGACAAAATTATCGAGCACTCTACTCAAATCAAACCAACAAATTAGACAGTCTAAACGTACCTTTATAGATTTTTTTTCTTTATTAAAGAGACTTTCAGCCTTGGGCTGATTTGTCTCTGGCTACCTTTATAGATGTACTTGGGACCAATAGGCTAGTTAAGCCAATTTTAAATCGTTAGTTTCCACCGATTGATTATACTATGTTCAGACTATAGTTGATATCACGTAGTATAATATGATATTAAGATAGCCTATATAATGTGATATTAGCTATAGTCTAAACATACTTTTAACTTAAAGGCGAACCAAAAAATAAAGGAAAAGGTAGATTATAGCTGCTGTCCCTCTTTACACACAAGATTGGCAACTGACATGAAGCAATGTGTCTACACGCTAAGAAACGTTAACCTAAATTTGGGAAATCAATTTACACGGCCGATAGATAGTCAATTATTTTCAGAGAAGAAATTTCTAAATGTTGGATGATCTGAGCGCTGAATAGTATTGGCGCTCTGTCTGAGTTATTCTCAGTGGCCGTATACACAGATTTTAGTTCGAGTATGAAATTGAAAGTAATTGTTTACATATGGCAAATAGGCCCTATTCACATGTTGCTTTAGTTACTAGCTTCCTCCATCATACGTTAAATCACTGGACACTGGACTATGGAAAATACGTTTATGTGCAATCGTTGGAAAAAGTAGTGTATGATGTTGTCCGCCATGGTGAGTAATTTATAGTCTAATTTTTCACAATACTGAGTAAAATCAGCTGCTAAGCGCTCAATTTACAGTGTACTAGTCATCTTTCGTGTCACTAGTGGCGCTAGTATCGGGCAAAATCGTGTCTTGTAGTGTTCAGAAAATCATTCCCAAATCTCATTCATTGAGCCTCCCTGCGAGAAAAAAATCGCGTGTGAATGTGGCAAAGAAAATTCACGCTTGAGATTCTCATGCAAATTCACGCACTCACACTCTCAACGTTGAAAAATCATTCCAGCTTTAAACTCATATAAACCAATCAAACGTCAATTCATAGCATGCTTTCGCATGCTGTGTTAGTTTTCCAACCTCTGATGCACAAACACCAAAAATAACAATGAATAACGTTAAAATATAAAGAAATTTAAGTTTGAACTTGAAAACTAATCGGTGGTTTTTTCGTTGTTGAATTTTGCAAGGCGCATAACCCAACAAACATTGGAAGCAGAATAATAGCTTGTTCAGACAAACATATGCTTCTTCAGCTAAAAAATGGCATATTCAGCCTTTAATCAGCTCTAATTGTTTTATGGGAAACTCATGCATCCGATTTCAGTTTTTGAGTTTTTACAAAAACGGCTTGGGGATAATAAAAAGTGGGTCATATTGTTAATTTATAATATGTTAGAGTTAATACATTTGAAATTTGAATTTATACATAGTAACAGTTTCAAACGACATGGATTGTAGTTTTAATTGAATTTGTGAGCACAGAGAGGGAGAGTGTATTATAACGACGATTGCCGATGGTCAACATTTGAATAGGTAGATAAGGGGTCTGCACAATTTGTAAATAATCCAGTAACAAAATACACGTTGAAGAGCACAGTACGGCCGGTTTGGTGTCTCATTTTTTCTTTGGTCCTTCGATGACTGAATCGGTGTGTTTGAACGACAAAGTCCTCCCGTAAAAAGGGACTTGGAAGAATTTTGTGTGGTTAGTGAAGCATTTCTAGAGAGTGCATTTTTCGGTGCTAGTTCACTTGGCTAGTGAAGAAAGACCTTCGAGTACGGCAAGGCGAGTATCGTCATCATTTGGTCCTTCGAACCGGATCGAAGGCAATTCGGACCGAGAAGTGCGCCTCGCGGTGGTGTGTGAAAGTGACCAATCTGACCGAAAACGCGGGTCAAAAGGGGCTGCCATTACATTGGCGAAAAACAAGTGCGATAGTGCGACAAGGTTTCTACCGCGTCGGGTAGACCTCAGTGTGGGAATTAATTAAATTCAATCAGCACTATCCTGCTGTGTGTGCTTTGCGTGGACATAGTACCAAGACGGGTGCTATTCGGCAGCCTTACGGTGAACTGCGTGAAGGTAGGGACTATCGCTGCTAGTGTGTTGATCGCGGGAGAAAAGCAGAACGAACCTTTTTTTTTTTTTTTTTTTTTATTAATTACTTTATTTTTACAGGCTCAATCGAATAAACTTTACAGAGCCGAGGTATCATTTTTGTTATACATTATTGATTTCTTATATTTAAAGTTAAAGGAGCTGGACCGGATACTCGCGGTTGTCTCGAGGTTAGTGGAGAACGATCGATATACGGTACATTTTCGCCGTCGGTACTAAATAAGTGCGTGTATTTTGTGCGGGACAAGAATATTGCGCTTGAGAGTGCACTAAGCCGAGTGTTACTCTGTTGTGTGGAGAAGAAAGGACATTGTGTCTGGCCATTGTGGATCGTGGCCATTGCTTGGAGGAGGTGATTAACCCTTCTACATCATAACGTCGCTGCCATCTTCTACGCTTGCCTGCGTTGCTTGGGAACGCCACTGGACGCCATCGCTCACTGGTGCCATTGGATCAATTTGGCGCAATACCGTTGTGCCTGAAGGAAAGCATCCTGTCCATTGGATTGCTCCCGGTGAGTCCGTTCCAAGTTATTCTGCATGTGGCTAGCAGTAGCTTTTATAACGTAAGAAAGTGGGTAGCCAAGGGCTATTGTGGCTGGTGGTTGACGGTCCGCATATCGAGTGGAAAACCGTTCGCGCCCTCGATTTGCGAAACCGCGTAGAAGTGGGTACGTTCGCGACGGGAAGGAGAGATCGATTTCGATTATCAACGACTCACTTCCGTTCGATTGAAACGTCGCGAAGGGGTTTATACACCGCGTCGGGAAGGAGCAATACGTTTCGATTGTGTGTTACCCTCGTTCGGTACGGTTTCGCGTAGAAACGGTTAGTTCGCGCCGGGAAGGATTTTTCGATTTCGTATATAAACTACTGTTTCCGTTTCGATTTCGTCCGCGATGCCGACGAGAGAGGAGAAAAAGCTGGGCGATCGTTTGGCCCAACGTAAGGGACTCCTTGCGATTCGCAATGCATTGGAGAAGTTTGTTCGCGAGTACGATCACGATCGCGATGCCAGTCAACTGTGTGTACGATTGGACTCGTTGGATCAATTGAACGCAAATTTTTTGGAGTGTCAGGATGCTATTGAACAGTTGGATAAACCGGAATCACTGGATGACCATATCGTCGAACGTGTGGAGTTCGAACAGCAGTACTGCAAGGCAAAGGGCTTTCTACTTACGAAACGCACTGGGGATCAAAATCAGTCGATGAACAATTCTATGCTGGCTCCGCAACATTTCACTCCAAACTTCCACCTCCGTCTACCAAAAATAGATTTGCCGAAGTTCAACGGGGATTTTTCTCGTTGGATTTCATTTCGGGATACATTTACGTCAATGGTCCATGCAAATGGTGATATACCTACAGTTGCCAAATTGCAGTATCTTCTCCAATCTCTCGAAGGGGATGCCAAGAAACCCTTCGAATCAGTTGACATCGAAGCCGACAACTACGCTACAACATGGGACGCTCTGATCAAGAGGTACGACAACCGGCGATACCTCAAAAGGCAACTCTTTCGGGCATTGTACGACTTACCAGCAGTTAAGCAGGAGTGTGCGAAACGCATTCACGGTTTGGTCGACGATTATCAACGTCATGTTCGCGCCCTCGCCAAACTGGGTGAACCCGTGAATCATTGGGACACGCCGCTCATCAATTTACTTTCGTACAAACTGGATCAAGGAACGCTACGAGCCTGGGAAGAGAAGGCAAGTCAACGGGACGACGTGACATACGAGGAACTGTTCGATTTTCTCTATCAACGAGTTCGGATTCTCAATTCCGTCGGGCCTGATTCACAACCATTCGCCTCAATGAAGGTGGCCGGCATCCATAATAAAGGATTCAAGTCAAAGGTATCAGCTAATGCAGCAACAGCTTCGTCTCCACAGTATTCATGTCCACTGTCGTGTTCAGACAGTCATTCGATTCGAAACTGTCCTGTGTTTCTTGGGAAGGATGTCAGCCAGCGACGCATGCTGGTTTCCCAGAAACGATTATGTTGGAACTGCTTAAGCTTCGGTCACCAATCCAAGAAGTGTGGTTCCAAATTCACTTGTCGAACTTGTCACGACAAACATCATTCTCTCCTGCACGATCCTGCTCCAATGAAAGTATCATCGACACCTGCCATTCTATCAAGTTCAGTTGAGTCTCGAAGTTTTACCGTGTCACCGAATCTTGCTGTACCATCAGCTTCCCCGGTTCAACAATCGCTTCCTTCCACGTCACCAATCGTGGAACCTTCTGGCTCCCGCCAAGTCAGCATGGCAGTCCAAACTGCATGCACCATGACATTGCTGGAAACGGTTGTTCTTAACATTATCGACGATTACGGTAAAACGCACAAGGCCCGAGCTCTCCTCGATTCAGCATCGATGTCGAATTTCATTTCGAAACCGCTAGCTAAGAACCTCTACAGTCGCCGATCAACAGTCAACGTGTCCGTCGCAGGCATTGGATCATCCACACAGAAGGTCAGTACTGCCATTACCGCAACCATCGAGTCGGGAGATCGAACGATCTCGATGAAATTGCAGTTTTTGGTATTGAAGCAGCCATCATCGGAGCTGCCAACAACGCCGATTGACATTTCGGCATGGAAAATTCCGGATGTAAGGCTAGCAGATCCTCAGTTCAGTATTCCCGGAAGTGTCGACCTCGTCATCGGCAGTGAAACTTATTGGGAACTCCACACGGGTAGGAAGATTTCTCTAGGTGAAGGTCTTCCGTGGGTAGTCGAAACCCCATTTGGTTGGGCGGTTACTGGTCCCGCAGCTCGCACGGCTACCTGCATTCCAAGATTCTGCTATCTCTCCACCGTAGATGAACGGCTGGAATCCACTCTACAAAGGTTTTGGGAAATGGAAACAATTCCATCGGAGCCGGTCCAGTCTACCGAAGAAAGTCGTTGTGAGGAGCTGTACGCTGCAACGACTACGCGCGATTCATCAGGAAGGTACGTTGTGCGTCTCCCACGGATTGAAGATCCCGAAATCATGCTCGGAGAATCGAGATCAATAGCAGATCGACGCTTTCTGAGCTTGGAACGTCGACTCGAGCGAGATCCTCCGACCAAGGACTCGTATCATAGGTTCATGGAGGAGTATCTGCAACTTGGACACATGAAGAAGGTGGAAGAGCCTGCAGATGACCACATTCAACACTGCTATATTCCACATCACGTCGTCTTCAAGGAATCCAGTACGACCACGAAAGTCAGGGTTGTCTTCGACGCGTCATGCAAGACTTCATCGGGCTATTCCTTGAACGATACTCTGCTTGTTGGACCTGTTGTTCAGCAAGATCTCTACTCGATCTATTTGAGATTCCGGACAAGAGTTGTCACCATCGTAGCAGATGTCGAGAAGATGTATCGACAAGTGCTGCATCATCTGATCGACCTAGTATTCCTCCGCATACGATATCGTAGAAGTCCTACCGATCCAATCGCCACATACGAACTACAAACTGTCACCTACGGAACAGCAAGCGCTCCTTATTTGGCAACGAAGACACTTCAGCAGATCGCGAAGGATCATGAGCATTTGTATCCCGCTGCAGTCAACTCGGTTGTTGAAGATTTCTACGTCGACGATCTTTTGTCTGGAGCATCGGATGTGGAAGCTGCGATTATTCTCCGCCGAGAAATCACTGCCATGCTTAGTTCCGCTGGGTTCATGCTGAAGAAGTGGGCGTCGAATGCCCATGAAGTGCTAGAGGATGTTCCACCAGAGGATCTTGCAATTCAGCCTATCCATGATCTACAGGATGAGCAGACAATCTCCACACTTGGTCTACTTTGGGAGCCAACCGCCGATATGCTACGGTTCAAGGTTGAATTACCTCTTCCTGCTGCCATCCTTACAAAGCGGAAAGTGATGTCGTATATAGCTCAAATATTCGACCCACTGGGATTATTGGGTCCAACGACAACCAAGGCAAAGCTCTTCATGCAACATTTGTGGACGTTGAAGCGCAATGGTGTTTCCTGTGAATGGGATTCTCCACTACCAGAGAAACTTCAAGCCGATTGGAAGCAGTTTCACTCCACCCTCCACATTCTTGCTGATATCCGTATTCCTCGATTGGTGTTGGCTTCCGGAGTCAACAATATCCAGCTGCATTTCTTCGCCGATGCATCCTCCATTGCATACGGTACGTGCTGCTACGTTCGCACGGAATCAATGGTAGGAGTATTTGTACACCTTTTGACATCTAAGTCTAAGGTCGCCCCGTTGTCTACACATAATTCCATCGCTAGACTTGAGCTCTGTGCCGCTCATCTAGCTACTCAACTTTACAAGAAAGTAGAAGCGACCTTGAAGGTTTCAGCAACGGCATTCTTTTGGTCGGATTCCAGTACCGTGCTTCAGTGGTTGCGTGCATCTCCAAATCGCTGGAAGACATTCGTCGCCAATCGCGTGTCTAAGATCCAGACCACCACGGATATCAATCACTGGAGACACATCGCAGGCTTAGAGAATCCTGCGGACGATATTTCCCGTGGCCTAAATCCAACGGATATTCTGCACCGTTATCGGTGGTGGCATGGCCCACCATGGTTGTCGCAAACTCGCGATCTCTGGCCCAGGACCATCATCGATCAGGAGTACTCCCCCGCAGCGTCCGAAGAAGGGCGCAAAATTCCGATTGTTGCAATGACTGCTGCACAAGCAACTCTCTGTGAGGATTTGTTCGCACGGTACTCCAGCTACAGCAAACTACGCCGAGTCTTGGCATTCTGCGAACGCTACCTACAGTGCCTGAAAGATCGTTCTCTCCTGCGCAAATCCGATCCCAGTTTCGCTGAACTAGTAGTACTTCAAGGAGATAAAGCCGCATCCGTTTCACGAGTTACCACCACCGAGCTTCAACACGCCGAACAGCTACTGTGCCGTTTATCACAACGCAAAGCTTTCGCTAAGGAGCTCTCCGATCTTGCAAATGGCGAACGCGTCATTAAGTCATCTTCACTCAAATGGCTGAACCCGTTCGTAGACCAAAACGGTATCATCCGCGTCGGTGGTCGTATCCGTAACGCCGCGTTGTCCGACGCAATCAAACACCCGATCGTTCTGTCCGCTAAACATCCGCTGTCTGCTCTGTTGGCTAGCAGTTACCACCAAAAGCTACTGCATGCAGGTCCACAACTCCTGCTAGCCACTCTCCGCCAGAAGTTTTGGATTCTGGGCGGCAGAAACCTCATAAAATCCGTCTTCCACCAATGCCACACTTGTTTTAGAAGCAAGCCAACTCTAGTCCAGCAGAGCACAGCCGATCTGCCGGTATCGCGAGTTTCGCCGACGTGTCCGTTTTCCGTGTGCGGTATCGACTACTGTGGACCGTTCTACATCAAGTCAGTAGTTCGAAAGCGTGGTCCTACAAAAATCTACGTGGCCATATTCGTTTGCTTCTCAACCAAAGCTGTTCACATCGAGTTAGTGAGCGATTTGTCAACTCCTGCTTTCCTAGCTGCACTACGTCGTCTAGTCGCCCGCCGAGGAAAAGTCGTCGAGCTCCATTCTGACAATGCTACTGCCTTCAAAGGTGCTTCGCATGCCTTGAATAGGATTTACCGAATGCTAAAGATTGAAGCTGCTGACCGTGCGCAAATCTTCGATTGGTGCTCCGAAAATGAAATCGTCTGGAAGTTTATTCCACCCCGAGCTCCACACTTTGGAGGCCTCTGGGAAGCCGCTGTCAAATCTGCGAAAACGCATCTGCTGAAGACCGTTGGTAACGTCAACTTAGCCTACGAGGACCTGTTGACATTGTTAGCACAAGTCGAGATGTGCCTCAACTCTCGTCCGCTTACGCCGATACCCGAGGACCCATCTGACCTAAAGTCCTAACGCCAGGAGACTTCCTTGTTGGAAGCAGCCTACAAGCGGTTCCTGAACCGAACTGGAAGGATACTGCTGATAATCGCTTGGACCATTGGGAATTGACCCAGAAACGGCTGCAGGTGATCTGGTCGCGCTGGTACCCGGAGTATCTACAACAGCTACAATCTCGTGCAACTAAGGGTTGCAATCCGCCAGTCATCATCGAAGTTGGTGCCATTGTCATAATAAAGGAAGACAATGTTCCACCAACAAATTGGCCGTTGGGGAAAATTATCAAGCTTCATCCTGTAAAAGATGGTGTTGTACGAGTGGTGACTCTTCGAACAGCATCAGCTAAAGAAGTCATGCGCCCCGTAGCACGAATCGCGTTACTTCCGTCGATGAAATCATCATCAACCTTGTGACCAGGTAGAGCAACCCATTCCGGGAAAATTTGCTCGATGCGCACCTGCACATTGCACAGGTAATTGTAGGTCCAATAAATTACACTTGCCTCGTAAGATCTACCTGTTCCTTCTCTTGTTCCCGGTCTCCGTCGAGGAATAATCATCCCACATCTACCACTGGATCAACCCGTGAACCCGTGGTTAAGTGTGCAAATGGAGAATCATGCGCAGCCGGAATTCTTGCAGTGAAGGGGAAAAGGGATGGTTTTTTTTGTAAATAAGTAGATTAAAGATCAGTTGAAATATTCCATATTTTCCATATTTCAAGGTGGCCGGAATGTTAGAGTTAATACATTAGAAATTTGAATTTATACATAGTAACAGTTTCAAATGACATGGATTGTAGTTTTAATTGAATTTGTGAGCACAGAGAGGGAGAGTGTATTATAACGACGATTGCCGATGGTCAACATTTGGATAGGTAGATAAGGGGTCTGCACAATTTGTAAATAATCCAGTAACAATATACACGTTGAAGAGCACAGTACGGCCGGTTTGGTGTCTCATTTTTTCTTTGGTCCTTCGATGACTGAATCGGTGTGTTTGAACGACAAAGTCCTCCCGTAAAAAGGGACTTGGAAGAATTTTGTGTGGTTAGTGAAGCATTTCTAGAGAGTGCATTTTTCGGTGCTAGTTCACTTGGCTAGTGAAGAAAGACCTTCGAGTACGGCAAGGCGAGTATCGTCATCATAATATGTGCAGCAACTTAGCCTTACATTTCATAGTTTCTCAAATGTTATTTTTTTTTTTCCTAGTTCAAGTGTCAGTTAATGTAATAAATTTAAAATGATTTACAAAGTGGTTCATTGATCAAAAAACCATAACGTCATCGGATTTATCAAGTCGCTTTTTCCAAGCACCGTAGTTGTTGATAGGATTTTTCGATAAAAAACACAATTAACAATACCACTCCTTTACACATGCAATTTTTTGGTAGTTCTGTTAGTTTGACATCGAACCGATAACAATAACAATAACCGATCATGGTAGCTAAGACCATACTGATTATATATTTCACTTCCATCATAGAACAAAACAATTTCTGCTACCGACAAATATAGTTTTTGATGAACTTTCGTATTTTTTTCGAATTTAGGAAATTTCGTGACCACAGCCAAATTTTGCGTAATTCGCGGCTTCCACGAAATCAAAAATATCCACTGTCCCTACTGACCCATTTCATCGTAGGGCTCATAAAATCAAGTGCAAACGGAGTTCTAGAAAGGAGGAGATAATGGTCCACGGAAATTAAAAGCTTTTATTTCATTTCAAATTAGCGGTGAACGTGGTGGTGGGGGTTGGTGGATAAATGGCCGGAACAATTCCATCAACCGCACTGCCTGGCTTTACCAATGTCACCTTCCCCATGGTGTAGAACCTTGCAAAATTCTGAACAAGGGGTGACATTTTGAGGGGTTGGCACATCCATTTAGCTCTGGCGGTGGAATGCGCTGCACACCAAATTGAGCGAGAAAAGCTAATGAAAAAGGGATGAGACTCTTAGTGATTTTTTTTCGTGATGAAGCCGCATTTTTTTGTGTTAAATGAGTTCTTACATAATTAATGGGAGAGATAGGAATGCCATCTCAGCTTGGGTGCGGTCGGTGGTAAAAGAAAGGGATTTATTTCCGATTGAAAAGTTATAATCTCTCGCAACGTAGTAATGGGAATGATTCATGCGTTTCGATCGTTAGTAAGACGGAAGTTAAATGGCTTGTAGCACTGTATATTATGTAGCCGGAAATGGGCCGCAATGTTGGTTAATGGTGACGAATGTTAAAATGAAGGAAAAAAGAACGGAACTTTTAACCTGTCGATCTCGATGTCAACGGTTTCTCAAGCGGAAACACTCAAGATAATGGTTTCCTTTCGAAGCAAAGAATGAAAACGCTACAAATTAATGCGACCTAGATGCGAACACGCGATTTATTCTTCCAACTGGAAGAAGGATCTCGCGGATCTGTGAAAATGGAAGTAAAGACGAAACGGTTTGGTACACTTTCATGCTTTCCGCAATGGTTTTACCTAGGTGCAACTGTCATCAATAATGAATAACTGTCAGCAAGGATTTCAATGCCGTTGAGATGATCTGTAAACTAGTGCAGCAGGCATGTTTGCATGAGCGATTTACAATGTATGATATGGTGAATATGATTGCGCATAAATGCATTTATGCATACATTCTCCTTGACTTTGATGGAAATTCCTGTATCGTGTTCACTGCAATAATGATGCAATTCTTAATCGTACAAAGAGATTTGTTGATTTCCAACGGTTTGGAATACTAGTGCAAAGATTAATAATTCATATAAAGTAATTTTGATCGAAAACTTTGAATTGAAAACAAAAACCTACAGCTCCGAAAAGAAACTGTTTAACTCATATGTATTCCCCCTTTTATGATGTACTGACTGTGAAGGCATATCGGTGACAGGCAAGTGTCCTGGATTTATCTTGAGAGAATACTTGGTACAAGTCTAGTCTAGTCTACACACAACCAGTACTTGAAAGAATCATGGAAAATTAATTAATATATACCTATTATTTTTCTTGTCATTATTATTGAACAGTTCGCAATAAGACTCCTGTGCTAAAATAGTCCCTCGTATTTTTTTACGCTCATACTAGAACAAAAAATAATTCAATAATTTTCAAAGTTCAAAGTTCTTCAGGCCGGGGATCTGGTTTCCGCTTTAATGTACGTCTCGTCGTCCATTACGATGAATTTCAGCTGCACCAACCACTCGCGGTTTAGCTTCCTGGCGCGGGTATTGGCCACTGTATTCTGTTTATCGGTTCGGTTAGGCGTCTTCCTTACCTTGAAGACATGAAGTCCGGCCCGCTTCATTGTCTGCTGGACGAACCAGACGGAAGAATTGATCTTCTTGGCCACGTCCGGAATCGAAAGGTTCGGATTGCGCTTGAAGTAATCCCTCACTTTCCTTGCGTTTACGGGGTCAGTCGTCTTCGTTTTTCTTCCACTGCCAGCTTGCCGCTGAGTCTTCTGGGTCTCCTTGAACGATATTACCACACGGGACATTGTCGGTAACAAACGGTTTCGCGATCCACCTTTGGGACTGGTGTGGATTTTCCACGACCGCTTCCATAATTTTTTGTCGAAACACTTCTTGCTTGAAAGCCATCTCGATAACCACTTGAAGGATTGTGACGAGATTTAGCATGTAAACATTACAGTTTAAACTAGTTTTGGTAAAAAATTTCCCATGCAATAAAAAGTTACACAAAATAAAGTTTTGTTTTTTTTTTTAGTACAATCTTTAGTATGTCGATATGATACACTGTTGTAAAATCTAGCATTTATTTTCATAAAATTGATTTTTTATTTTTTTTTTTATTTTTTTTGGGCTGAGCGAAACAGAACAGTTTTAGCCCAAGAGCTTACTTTGCTGCAAAATATGCAATAGACCTGTGCACGGGTGAACTTTAGTTCAACTACTGAAAAAAAAAATTGACACAACAGCGGGGCCCTTTTTACTAAAAATGAACACATGACTAATGCTCGCGTAACATTTGAAAAGGGCCTATCAACTTTTGTAAATAATTTGCTAGGTCCTTTTCACGAGAACCAAAGTACGCCCACGCAAACCAAGAGCATTATCGGGAAGGGGAGAATTTCCTCTGCTCGATGGTGCTGTTAGTTTGCGTGAGCGTATTCTGTTCGCGCGAAAAAGGCTTAACAAGTTTTGTGTACCTAAGTTGATAGACCCGTTTCAAATGTTACGTGAGTATTATTCATGTGTTCATTTTTAGTAAACAGGGCCCCGCTGTTGTTTCACTTTTTGTCGAGTGAGTGAACTCAAATCCATCCGTGCACTCGTCTATAACGCACAAAAGTGATATTAAACAAACACTAAGTAGGCCAGGCCTGCTGTGCAGCGTTTTTTGACGTAGAACTACGTCGACTATACTGGGGTGCAAATCAGAAAATATGTGTGGTGAAATAGTGTTAGGTTTTGAACGCTTGTGACTTCCCAACAAGCAATCGCCTATTGAAGAAACGACTTCTTGACGATTTTATTCAACTGCATGTTTAATAATACTTGAACCATTTTTAATAATAACTTCTGTGCAGGCTTTGTTCACACAAATCTGGAGAATTTATTCAACCACAACATGGTATTGGTTAAGGTATGTCGAGAAGCTTTCATTCGACATCCATGAGTTTTAACCGAGCTTATTCGATCAAATGTTTTATTAACCAGCGTTTATTAGACATCTTTGTTCCTGAATCAGCTATGCTATATACGCTTGATTATCATGTGAAGTAACGTTTAAATTAGACACTATTATACATTTATTAAACGATTGTTCAACTTCAGGAAAATTAACCCAAAAATAAAGAAAGGTAGAGAGACACAGACAGAGTTGTCTTTTTCTTTCGATGATTGTTTTCGTTATTTCTGACGAAACACGTACCACATAATAGATAGATACTAGAAAACTTATTACATACATAAACATGTCCATTGCATGGGTTTCGAACCATGTACCTTCCGATCACCAGCCGCTTGCCTTTCCCTCTGAGCTATCCTAGAATAC